CAATGCCCTCTATCAGAATCCAGAGTTTCGAGAAGATTGGGGATACTTGATTTTTCGCCCAAAAAAAAAAACGTAAGGGGTAACACTGTCGTTTTTTTTTCGGGTCGAAATTTTGAGTTTCCATATCTCAGCTCTGGAAGGGTCTAGAGCCTCCATTTTTGCGCTCAGGTGCAAGTCTCAGTGCCCTCTATCAGAATCCAGAGTTTCGAGAAGATTGGGGATACTTGATTTTTCGCCCAAAAAAAAAAACGTAAGGGGTAACACTGTCGTTTTTTTTTCGGGTCGAAATTTTGAGTTTCCATATCTCAGCTCTGGAAGGGTCTAGAGCCTCCATTTTTGCGCTCAGGTGCAAGTCTCAGTGCCCTCTATCAGAATCCAGAGTTTCGAGAAGATTGGGGATACTTGATTTTTCGCCCAAAAAAAAAAACGTAAGGGGTAACACTGTCGTTTTTTTTTCGGGTCGAAATTTTGAGTTTCCATATCTCAGCTCTGGAAGGGTCTAGAGCCTCCATTTTTGCGCTCAGGTGCAAGTCTCAGTGCCCTCTATCAGAATCCAGAGTTTCGAGAAGATTGGGGATACTTGATTTTTCGCCCAAAAAAAAAAACGTAAGGGGTAACACTGTCGTTTTTTTTTCGGGTCGAAATTTTGAGTTTCCATATCTCAGCTCTGGAAGGGTCTAGAGCCTCCATTTTTGCGCTCAGGTGCAAGTCTCAGTGCCCTCTATCAGAATCCAGAGTTTCGAGAAGATTGGGGATACTTGATTTTTCGCCCAAAAAAAAAACGTAAGGGGTAACACTGTCGTTTTTTTTTCGGGTCGAAATTTTGAGTTTCCATATCTCAGCTCTGGAAGGGTCTAGAGCCTCCATTTTTGCGCTCAGGTGCAAGTCTCAGTGCCCTCTATCAGAATCCAGAGTTTCGAGAAGATTGGGGATACTTGATTTTTCGCCCAAAAAAAAAAAACGTAAGGGGTAACACTGTCGTTTTTTTTTCGGGTCGAAATTTTGAGTTTCCATATCTCAGCTCTGGAAGGGTCTAGAGCCTCCATTTTTGCGCTCAGGTGCAAGTCTCAGTGCCCTCTATCAGAATCCAGAGTTTCGAGAAGATTGGGGATACTTGATTTTTCGCCCAAAAAAAAAAAACGTAAGGGGTAACACTGTCGTTTTTTTTTCGGGTCGAAATTTTGAGTTTCCATATCTCAGCTCTGGAAGGGTCTAGAGCCTCCATTTTTGCGCTCAGGTGCAAGTCTCAGTGCCCTCTATCAGAATCCAGAGTTTCGAGAAGATTGGGGATACTTGATTTTTCGCCCAAAAAAAAAAACGTAAGGGGTAACACTGTCGTTTTTTTTTTCGGGTCGAAATTTTGAGTTTCCATATCTCAGCTCTGGAAGGGTCTAGAGCCTCCATTTTTGCGCTCAGGTGCAAGTCTCAGTGCCCTCTATCAGAATCCAGAGTTTCGAGAAGATTGGGGATACTTGATTTTTCGCCCAAAAAAAAAAACGTAAGGGGTAACACTGTCGTTTTTTTTTCGGGTCGAAATTTTGAGTTTCCATATCTCAGCTCTGGAAGGGTCTAGAGCCTCCATTTTTGCGCTCAGGTGCAAGTCTCAGTGCCCTCTATCAGAATCCAGAGTTTCGAGAAGATTGGGGATACTTGATTTTTCGCCCAAAAAAAAAAACGTAAGGGGTAACACTGTCGTTTTTTTTTTCGGGTCGAAATTTTGAGTTTCCATATCTCAGCTCTGGAAGGGTCTAGAGCCTCCATTTTTGCGCTCAGGTGCAAGTCTCAGTGCCCTCTATCAGAATCCAGAGTTTCGAGAAGATTGGGGATATTTGATTTTTCGCCCAAAAAAAAAAAACGTAAGGGGTAACACTGTCGTTTTTTTTTCGGGTCGAAATTTTGAGTTTCCATATCTCAGCTCTGGAAGGGTCTAGAGCCTCCATTTTTGCGCTCAGGTGCAAGTCTCAGTGCCCTCTATCAGAATCCAGAGTTTCGAGAAGATTGGGGATACTTGATTTTTCGCCCAAAAAAAAAAAACGTAAGGGGTTACACTGTCGTTTTTTTTTTCGGGTCGAAATTTTGAGTTTCCATATCTCAGCTCTGGAAGGGTCTAGAGCCTCCATTTTTGCGCTCAGGTGCAAGTCTCAGTGCCCTCTATCAGAATCCAGAGTTTCGAGAAGATTGGGGATACTTGATTTTTCGCCCAAAAAAAAAACGTAAGGGGTAACACTGTCGTTTTTTTTCGGGTCGAAATTTTGAGTTTCCATATCTCAGCTCTGGAAGGGTCTAGAGCCTCCATTTTTGCGCTCAGGTGCAAGTCTCAGTGCCCTCTATCAGAATCCAGAGTTTCGAGAAGATTGGGGATACTTGATTTTTCGCCCAAAAAAAAAAAAACGTAAGGGGTAACACTGTCGTTTTTTTTTCGGGTCGAAATTTTGAGTTTCCATATCTCAGCTCTGGAAGGGTCTAGAGCCTCCATTTTTGCGCTCAGGTGCAAGTCTCAGTGCCCTCTATCAGAATCCAGAGTTTCGAGAAGATTGGGGATACTTGATTTTTCGCCCAAAAAAAAAAAACGTAAGGGGTAACACTGTTGTTTTTTTTTCGGGTCGAAATTTTGAGTTTCCATATCTCAGCTCTGGAAGGGTCTAGAGCCTCCATTTTTGCGCTCAGGTGCAAGTCTCAGTGCCCTCTATCAGAATACAGAGTTTCGAGAAGATTGGGGATACTTGATTTTTCGCCCCCCAAAAAAAAACGTAAGGGGTAACACTGTCGTTTTTTTTTCGGGTCGAAATTTTGAGTTTCCATATCTCAGCTCTGGAAGGGTCTAGAGCCTCCATTTTTGCGCTCAGGTGCAAGTCTCAATGCCCTCTATCAGAATCCAGAGTTTCGAGAAGATTGGGGATACTTGATTTTTCGCCCAAAAAAAAAAAACGTAAGGGGTAACACTGTCGTTTTTTTTTCGGGTCGAAATTTTGAGTTTCCATATCTCAGCTCTGGAAGGGTCTAGAGCCTCCATTTTTGCGCTCAGGTGCAAGTCTCAATGCCCTCTATCAGAATCCAGAGTTTCGAGAAGATTGGGGATACTTGATTTTTCGCCCAAAAAAAAAAAAACGTAAGGGGTAACACTGTCGTTTTTTTTTCGGGTCGAAATTTTGAGTTTCCATATCTCAGCTCTGGAAGGGTCTAGAGCCTCCATTTTTGCGCTCAGGTGCAAGTCTCAGTGCCCTCTATCAGAATCCAGAGTTTCGAGAAGATTGGGGACACTTGATTTTTCGCCCAAAAAAAAAACGTAAGGGGTAACACTGTCGTTTTTTTTTTCGGGTCGAAATTTTGAGTTTCCATATCTCAGCTCTGGAAGGGTCTAGAGCCTCCATTTTTGCGCTCAGGTGCAAGTCTCAGTGCCCTCTATCAGAATCCAGAGTTTCGAGAAGATTGGGGATACTTGATTTTTCGCCCAAAAAAAAAAAACGTAAGGGGTAACACTGTCGTTTTTTTTTCGGGTCGAAATTTTGAGTTTCCATATCTCAGCTCTGGAAGGGTCTAGAGCCTCCATTTTTGCGCTCAGGTGCAAGTCTCAGTGCCCTCTATCAGAATCCAGAGTTTCGAGAAGATTGGGGATACTTGATTTTTCGCCCAAAAAAAAAAAACGTAAGGGGTAACACTGTCGTTTTTTTTTCGGGTCGAAATTTTGAGTTTCCATATCTCAGCTCTGGAAGGGTCTAGAGCCTCCATTTTTGCGCTCAGGTGCAAGTCTCAGTGCCCTCTATCAGAATCCAGAGTTTCGAGAAGATTGGGGATACTTGATTTTTCGCCCAAAAAAAAAACGTAAGGGGTAACACTGTCGTTTTTTTTTCGGGTCGAAATTTTGAGTTTCCATATCTCAGCTCTGGAAGGGTCTAGAGCCTCCATTTTTGCGCTCAGGTGCAAGTCTCAGTGCCCTCTATCAGAATCCAGAGTTTCGAGAAGATTGGGGATACTTGATTTTTCGCCCAAAAAAAAAAACGTAAGGGGTAACACTGTCGTTTTTTTTTCGGGTCGAAATTTTGAGTTTCCATATCTCAGCTCTGGAAGGGTCTAGAGCCTCCATTTTTGCGCTCAGGTGCAAGTCTCAGTGCCCTCTATCTGAATCCAGAGTTTCGAGAAGATTGGGGATACTTGATTTTTCGCCCAAAAAAAAAAACGTAAGGGGTAACACTGTCGTTTTTTTTTCGGGTCGAAATTTTGAGTTTCCATATCTCAGCTCTGGAAGGGTCTAGAGCCTCCATTTTTGCAATCTTTTCATTTCTTTTCAGATATTCTCCACTCAATAGATTGCAGGTGGGATTTTGTCCACTTGCAGCTTATTGCATGTAGGCCGGGGTTAGTACTTTTAAAAAATAGTGCGTTATTGGAGAAATAGTGGGTTTGTGGACAGTGGAATTATGGGATGGCGGTTGGTGCCACGGACTCAGGGGCCCCAGCAGAGTGCAGATAAATGGTTTTCATCATTAAAGTATAGAACAACAAATTTTATCTTTATTAATTTATTTCATTTTGGTACGTTTTTGGGAAGTACACCTGTTTTGACCTGATGTCCATTGGAATGGACAAAAAAAATCACAATGAAAGCAAGTATATAAATGTTTTTTATTTGTTTTCATTTATAGAAACCTCATGAGCTGGGAAAATGTACTTTTATATTTTTCAGAAACTTGAAACATAATTCAGGTCTGAGGGGGTGAACACTTATCCCTGTGATGAGGAGTTGTGAGTTTGTATCATTTAGCTGAATGAGGACATCCCGTTTTCCAGATATAACTTGGCACTGATTTGATCCATAACATTAGCTTGTTAACTGTCACAAAAAATGCTTGAATATCTCTTGTAATTTGGCGTCGTTTCGTTTATGGCTTGATTGAGCCATCGTCACTGAAAGCTTTGCTCATTGAAATGCTTGTTGTGAATTTGAGGTAAACTTAATGATCCGTAGCAAATTCATGTTTTGGTGTTTTTGCAAAAAATAAAAATAAAAAATAATTCCCAGAGCCCCTGAGGCATTAATTAAAAAAACATTATTAAAAAGTATGTGGGGCCTGTGTACCAGTGAGGATCAAACACCCAGACTCAAACCAAGGTGTGTGCAGCAAAAGTTCAAAAGTTTAACACATCGAAGCTCAACTGAGAAAACGTTCTGAACACTGTGGGCAACAACACTGTCCTGACACTAAAGGGCAAGTTCTTCAGAAGTCACAGGTTTGCAAAACTAAACACTTCCTGCCAACACTTACATGCTGACAGGCCACATAAACAGGTCTGCTACCTACATTACCAGACCACAAAACACAAAAAGATGTTTAGTAAGCGCAGCGTAGATGAAAGAACAGACACATTTGTGGCAGAAACGGACGTTAAGTAAAAAATATAACTGCGTAAGTCTTATGAGTGGCATGCCATATTTTGTAAAAGTGAATAATAAAAATGTTATAGTTATCTAATTCAGTTTGAGATTGATTTCTGAGCTCTTCGTTTCTGTTCGGCTCTTTTGGATGTGATGTCATAAACCAGAACAGCAACAGTAGCCACGCCCACCAGAGCAGAGAGGACCAATTGGATCACAGCTTTAGTAGAATCACAACAGCAGACACATTCTGAAGGGGGGAAAGAGAACAGAACACATCAATATATACAATTATTTGACAATATGCTGCTGGTGTGATGGTTTATTGCTACCTGCACATGTGTGACAGAGTGTGTTGATGTCCAGATGTGTGGTCTGGTTGCTGATGGGATTGTTCAGCACACAGCTGTAAGTGTTTTTATCCTGATATTCCACCTCCAGAGGTAGAGAGAGACTGATGCTGAGATCAGACGCACTGATGCTGGACAATACACTCATTCCTGCGTACCAGGACAGAGTCACATGACTCACATTCACCACTGAACACAATAGCAGACATTTGGATACCGATGATTCTGATGATGATGAAGGATTTTGAGGACAGTAACTAGCGATCACAGGAATGGGAAGACGAGCTGGAAAACATTAAAGAAATATGAATAAAGAGTTTGTCAATCATTTTTAAACAACCTCAACCTATAAGTAGGCCTACTCACCAATGACAGTAACATTGAATGTTTTCTTTGAAACTTTATGTCCGATCATCTGTGCTTTATAAAGCCCAGAGTCTGTGGTTCTGATGTTTGTGATGGTCAGAGATCCAGTCTGATGATCCAGCTTCAGTCTGTCGCCGAATCTTTCATTATTTTCAGAGATGACTTGGGAGGATATGTTGAGTTTAGCGATGCAAAAGTCTCCGCACAGCCACATGATCAGATCGTCCTCTTGTATTTTATTCACACCCGTCTGTAGGTTGAGAGAATCGCCCTCTATCACCGACACCGACTCGATTTCATCTGTCTCAACACCAAACATACCTAAAAAATACAGCGCCACTTTCTCAATCACAGTCTAAAGTTTCTTTCTTTCTGTTGGATCATTAGTTTCAGGTCCAATTTCCAATTTTACTGAAGCAAACAACAACAATGCAAGCACAAGGAGCAGAACTGAGGACACCAACGAAACAGAGAACACAGGAAACACTGGGGTTTATAGACACAGGGGTAACGGGTAAACAAAACACACTTGGGAACATTCAGGGAACTAGTAAAAAGTAAAACTACAAAATGGCACAAGAAACAGAAAAAAGGAAAAGAAACGGGCAGAATACAACCTAAAAATCCAATTAACAGAAACACATACACAAACCGGAGAAGATGTAACATCCAGGTTTATAACTTGCTGTTCTGACTTTATTTTATCGCAGTTACAAGTTTAGATTTTTCTCACAGAAAAAACAAGCTTCCATAAATTTTACACTAATTTAAAATTGTGACACTAATGGGCGACAGTAGGATTGGGATCAGGTTGGACTAGTGGGTCACAGAATTCGGGATAAAATGTCAGAAGTGGCGAAACGCGATAAAAGTAAAGGTGCCAATTTTGAGCACTGTCTCAAATCTCAAATGCAAATAAAGTCTCAAATACACACATTGCACTGTTTTTAAACTGTCTCAGTAATCATTTAGGACAAAGCTAGAACTACAACCGAAAGCAAGAGCATCGCTAAAAACAACTATGGTGTTAATTTACATTCAGACAGAACATTTTGATTACTTAAAGGGAATGTTTTCGGGCATATTTGTGACGCAGCTGAATACCTTTAGACAATTATTGTAACCCTTAGTTTTCAACAGTAGACCTTTTACACCATTACAAAACTGTATGAAGTGAAAAGCTAAAAACACATTTTAACTTACCAACGAGACGGCAGAAGCACATACAAAAGAAAACAAACCCGGGAAGCATTGTTATCAGAAGCTGGCTGTCCTTTCTGAGAAACATCACTTTAAATGTGTGATCAAGTGTGAATCCCCTCCTTTAACACTCTTACACCTCCCTCCCCGTGCTCATGCGCCAACTGTGATTGGGTTTCTTATGTTTTACTTATTCTAGTACTATTTAGCTGTAGGTAAAAAAAAAAAAATCTTGATTAGTTATGACAACCAACCATATGGTGTATATCAAACTTGCTGATATTGCTATAGAAAGATGATATTTCCCTATATTTCACATTATAAATAGCAAGTTCTCATAATGGTTACATTTGTTCGTAACTTTGAATAATAGTTAAAAAATCATTTGTAAATGGTGCTGATCATTTTAAATGGCCTAATATTGCTGATGGATTCACTACTTTAACAGTTAGCATAATTCTGTAACAGGAAACAGTCTGTGATGTAAATGTAATCAGGACAGGAAGAAGCACGTTCAACCACATGACACATTCAATAGACACATACACAGCATATTTGTCCACTCAACATAATAAAACCATATATGTCTTTGTTGATCAAAACAAATGAGACCACAGCAGGTTTCAATTTGACTCACAGGTCACTAAACACACAGGTCTTCTGTGATAGTGGATTTTCTAATGTGTTAAACCAAAACTACCAATACTAATTTTGTTGTTATTAATATAGCTAGCAAATTCCAAAACAAGACCTGATTTATTTTTATTTTTATTTGGGGTCAATTTGATTTCATGGTGCCAGTATGCAGGAACAAGTCTTAGTAACGCCACTGTTTCCCCAAGTGGTCACCAGGTGGAACTGCAGTACAGTGAAATAAATAAAGAATTAAATAATATGCAACTCGGTCCTGGAGGGCCACTGTCCTGCAGAGTTCAGCTCTAACTTGCCTTAAAGGGATAGTTCACCCCAAAATGAAAATTTTGTCAGTAATTACTCTCCCTCATGTTGTTCCAACCCCGTAAGACTTTCGTTCATCTTTGGAACACAAATTAAGATATTTCTGATTAAATCTGAGAGCTGGATCACTCCTCCTATAGGCTTCTTAAGGGATTGAAACTTGCCGTCCGAGAAAATTTATTGAAGGCAATTCATGTCTTGATAAACTTAAGATTGAGCCACCGTAGTCACTCTGACTTTTTTAACGATGTCTTTAATAACTTTTCTGGGCCGGCAACTACTTATTTATAATTATGGACAGCACTTTGTAGCCTGGCTGCGCCCTACTACGCACTTCCGCTCAATTTCAGGCTAAGCACTTTGATCCATTTAAATGGTTTTGAAAGTGCTTTTTAAGTTGAGTTGAGTATAACCAACACCAACAAAATTGTTGATTTCATTTTGATTTTCATTTATTTTGAATTCCCTGGAAGCAAGTCATCAGTGGTGGAATGTAACGAAGTACAAATACTTCCTTCCTTTACTTAAGTACATTTTTCACGTATCTTTACTTTACTTAAGTAGCTACAATAAATAGTGCCTACTTTTTACTTTTACTTCGTTACATTTTGCAGCAATTATTATACTTTCTACTCCACTACATTTCTACAACTTCTGTTACATTTTCGTTACATTTTCTGATCAGTTTTTCCCCTGCCAAAACGTAATCTGACCGTCCGTTCGTTGCACGTTTGTCTCACCAGTGACATTTGGACCCCGTTTACACCTGGTATTAAAATGCGATCTGTATCCAGATAAGTTATCCGGATAATAAAAAACGCATGTTAATGCAAGGTGTAAACGCGTTGTGATCGGATCGTGATCGGATCTGCCTGACCACATCTGGAGGTAGTCTGGCTCGCATTGTGTCCGGATCTTTACTAGGTGTAAACGCAATCTGGTTGTTGAAACCACATATTTTACTCCTCCCAAAAATGCTAAAAAATAAACGAGTGAGAGCGTGTTATATAGGCTATATGTCATGTTATAGCAACGCATTAGATGCGACACGCATCACCGCAGATGAGCAGCTGAGCGTCTATTCAACGTGCAAACATCGCAAATAAAAGTGAAAGTAAGTCACAGACGCAGTTAACACATCTTCAAGTAAAGAAACGAAATTATCTTACCAGGCCTGTTGCCACTCTCTATTGATGTCTCTGATTTGGAAATTAGCTGATGATCAATAAAATGCCGCTCAGATCTGTTGCTTTTGGTGGCGTGCAATCCATTAAATCTGCATATAACGCAGGAGGTGAAGATCGGATTTATATCCGTTTTGCAAAAACACATTTATGTGGCCAGGTGTAAATGCAATCAGTACTTATTATCCGGATAACTTATCTGGATACAGATCGCATTTTAATACCAGGTGTAAACGGGGTCTTGGTTGCCATAGATACATCAACCCGGTCACACTAAATGCGTCTCACACGCAGTGTGTTTATCATGCAACTCATACGCGAAAATTTGTTTTTATGTGCATAGGAACCACACCGTGTGTAATATATGTTTGGTTTGGTTAGGATTATGGCAAGCCAAGAGGTTCAGAATTACACCATAAATGAATCGCGTTTACTGCCAAACATAGTTATTAACATATAGTAAGGATAAGCATGATATTGCAAGCTTGTTCAATAATGATGTAAAAAAATGTCACCATTTCTGAAACATCATTATAGGAGTAGGCTATTAGTGTTTTATTAATCATTAGAAAATAGACATTAAGATAAATTGTTATGCAAGTACTTTTACTTTTAATACTTAAAGTACATTTAAAATAAAGTACTTTTTACTTAAGTATGGTTGTCATTGTGTTACTTCTACTTTTACTAAAGTAAATATTTATCTGGGTATTTGTACTTTTACTTAAGTACTGAGATTCAGTACTTCCTCCACCACTGCAAGTCATGTCCACCATTATCCTCAAATGGTCATTAGGTTGGACTGCAGATTAAAACACACATAGATCACAGGACGAGCGCCCCCTATCGGCCAATACATCTACTGACGAATCTCTGCTTAACATTCCATTCAATTACGTGACCAAGATAAATATTATAGGATGTGGAAAATCTCACTAATACTGTCTATTACATGTTATTATTGACTAGGTTTGGGTTTACTCCGTTACGTTGACAGAGCAACAATTGAAACATAATGTAATAATCGAAACTGGTATTTTAAGTTCGCGTGGTTACACGCATTAGCACGGACGATAGAGAATGCAGTTAAACAACATGAACACTAGCTACTAAAATTATTATTATTATTATTTTTTTTTTTTGATGATAAGTGATGATAAGTGCGTCACATATGCGAGTGGTCATGTGAGCTGAGCTTCATCTGTGGAACTTCCCGACATTTACTTCCCAACTTTTCCCACGCAGATTTACTAGTTTACCAGCGACGATTAAGAATATAATTCACCAATGAAGATCTTCTGTTGTTGTAGGCTAATTCGTCAGAAAACTATGTTAATCGTCGCTGTGAACGCGTTTAAGAAACGGAGCGCTACCTGAGGGATACACTGCAACGCAAATGAACGATGAGCTACTACACAACATCTTTATTTTAAAACATTTCACTCTGGTCTACAGTATGATGATCTGTGCTTTATTTATGTGTTTTTTACTCTTCAAAGGTTGGTATTTAAAAACCTCAGATACTTTCGCTTTCATTTTGCTATAGCCTATACGTTTTGTCCAGCACTTAAACTGAATATTTAAATGTTGATTATTAAGCGATACGTTAATTACCCCATTTAACTTCCGTAATTAATATAAAAATGCTTAAGTGACCTGTCCCCAGACAAGTCTCATTAAATTGCTGATGTACATATACATACCTGTATGCATAACCATTATTATAGCTTCTTTAAACCTTTATTCTTATGTGAAAACTTTTTTTCTCTTCTGTTGGAAATATAATAATTAGGGAAATAAAACTTAAAGGAATAGTTCACATATGAATGCAAATGCTGTGATGATATACTCACCCTTATGATCTTCCAATCACATCACAAATATTTTCTGTGTAAGACAAAAGAAGATGTTAGCAGAAAAAGGGTACGATTCACTCCAATTATAAAAGCTTGGAAGAGACAGGATACTTGTAATATAACTCTGAGTGTGTTTGACTAAAAGAAGAAAGTAATGTAATATCCCTAGGATGACTTGAGTAAATCATGGGATTATTAGCATTTTTTTGTGAAATATCCCTAAAGTCTCATAATGTTGTTTAGACAGAAATTATCTCCATTTGAGTAACTGTTTGTTTGTTCTTCAGGTGTGTTTGGTGCTGAAAATACAGTGAAGACATTATCAGTGATGGAGGGAGATTCAGTCACTCTCCTTGCAGGTCTTATTGAAACACAGAGGATTGATCTGATACTGTGGACGTTTGGACCTGAAAGCACTCGTATAGCTCAGATCAACAGACCGAATAATAAGATCTCATATTATGATGTTCTTGATGGGAGATTCAGAGACAGACTGAAGCTGGATCATCAGACTGGATCTCTGACCATCACAAACACCACAACTGAACATGATGGACTTTATGAATTACAGATCTTTGGTGAAAAAGAGGTCCTACCAAAACAATTCAGTATTATGGTTTATTACGGTGAGTAGTTAAAATATAGTTTGCATTCGGTTTGATTTCATTGCCGTCACGACACGCACACATCCTTAATCGTAAAAAAAATCAAGACAAAAGGTTCAAAATCCATACAAAGGACGTCCGAAACAAACAGGAATGAATCTCTGAAGTGTAGTTGACATTAAAGGAGTAGTTCACTTTTAAAAAACTTTTGCTGATAATTTACTTACCCCCATGTCATCCAAGATGTCCATGTCCTTCTTTCTTCAGTCGAAAAAGAAATTAAGGTTTTTGATGAAAACATTCCAGGATTTTTCTCCAAATAATGGACTTCAATGGGGTCCAAACGGTTCAAGGTCCAAAAGACAGTTTCAGTGCAAACTGCAAACTGCTCGAAGGGCTTTAAACGATTCCAGACAATGAATAAGGGTCTTATCAAGCGAAACGATCGCTCATTTAAAAAAAAAAAAAAAAAAACAAAGTTGAAGTTTAATAAACGCAAATGGTCGCCTTACTCTGTTCTGCGATACACGTTCGTGACTCCTGTTTGAACTCATTTATCAAAATGAACGAATCCTTTTCCGAGTCAATTCGTTCGTTGAATGAACCAAATGACTTGGAAAAAGTTCGAACAGGAGAGTCACAAACGTGCATCGCAGTACAGAGCAAGGCGACCATTTGTGCTTAAAAAACTTAAACTTTGTTATTTTTTTTTTTAAATGAGCGATCGTTTCTCTTGATCGGCTAACTCAATTGCTACATGATTCTTCGGTAACACTTTACAATACGGGTGCACTAATATGCATTAATTCATCCTTAACTAATGCACAGATAATCATGAGTTAATCATGACGAACTAAACCATTAATTAATGATTGCTGCATCAGCAATTAATAAAGAGTCTATATGATTAATAGATTATGTAATACATGAATTGCTATTAATTCAATGTGTAATTGTCTATTAATTCCTTAATAACATATTTTATTAAATAATAGTGTAAATTAATGTGTTAATTACCACAATTAGTCAAAGCTATGCACTTCAATTTCCAGTTGTCTGCTTTAGATCATTATGTTATGACTTTACTTGTTGGGGCACATCATTATTAACTATTCATTTAGTAATTCGAGTAATTTGCACATGAATTTGCACTAACAATGTAGTAATTAATGATGTATTCATGCATATTAGTGTACCTGTCATGTTAGCTGGAAGTTGAAATACAAGACTCTATTTGCTCATTAACATATTAATAACACTATTAGTTAAAAAAATAAGTTATTATGGAATTAATCCACAATCACATATTTAATTAATAACAATTTATGTATGAACTAATACATTAACCTTACAGACTTTTTATTAGTTCCTAATGTGGTAATCATTAATGAGTAGCTTAAATAATCATTAGTTACACATTAATTCGGTATTATCTGTGCATTAGTTAAGCATATTAGTGCACCCATATTGTAAAGTGTTACCGATTCTTCTCATTTAATATATTGTTTCAATCAAAAATACGTCACAATTGGAGTAAAACATGTTTGCTAATGATGTCAAATTTCACTTTTCCCTATATTTCCCCTTTCTGTTGTAGTCTGATTAGTAGAAAATGTATTTTTTATATGTCAAATTCTTCAAAACTATTTAATTAAGGTGGCTCTATTTAGATAAATATTTCTATAAAGGTTGAGATCATTCTCTGTTTATTCTCATGTTTTCCAGCTCGTCTGCCTGTTCCTGTCATCAGTAGAAACTGTTCTTCATCATCATCATCATGTTCACTGGTGTGTTCATCAATGGTGAATGTGAGTCATGTGACTCTGTCCTGGTACGCAGGAATGAGTGTGTTGTCCAGCATCAGTGCGTCTGATCTCAGCATCAGTCTCTCTCTACCTCTGGAGGTGGAATATCAGGATAAAAACACCTACAGCTGTGTGCTGAACAATCCCATCAGCAACCAGACCACACATCTGGACATCAACACACTCTGCAGACACACATGTGCAGGTACGGCAGCGCTGATTTGTTCTACTCTACATTATTGATACCTCGCAAATTTATTTCCAGTTCTCAGGTTTTCCCATAAAGGATTTTTAGTTATCCGACCCATTTCAGATATACTCACAAGCTTTAAGTTAACTCTCTCTTATCTACTCGTTTACAGTGGATGGGTCAACAATCAGAACAGGAGGTTCATCGTTCAGTCATATAGTGCTGCTTATCTGTGTTTTTGTTGGAGTACCGGGAATTATTTTAGCTGTTGTTGGGATATTCGTCATCTACAGGAAATATAGAAAAACAGACCATGTGGGTAAGTATGATCTACAGTTAGAACTCTAGTGGCTAATTTACCCGATTTTTGACCAGTTTTATGTGTAAATGTTTAATGGGAGATCTGTATTATTAAAGGAATAATAGTCTCTTATTGGCCTACTAAACAGCCATAGAACAAACAAAATGAAACAAAAAACCCATGAAAATTTCTAAAAGGACACGTTTTATATAAAAAGTAAAACTTAATATTTAATGGTATTTGAAGAGTAGTTAATTGCATTCGACGGATTATTTTTCCTATATAAAAAAATCTTTTTCCTCTATAATGGGCTATAACACACATACGTGTTCTCAAACTTCTCATTACTTTTGAATAGGTTGTCTACTTCATAAATTGAATGAAAATTGTGGAAATAATGGTTCATATCACTCAAAACACATTTGGAAATGGAGGCGGCCTTATATGGACAGTAATGGAGTCGAAAAAGTTCTCAAACAAAATCTCACTGAAAGCTCATTTTTTGAGATATTAACCTAAAATTTGAAACACAACTTTGATTTGAAGTTGAATTGCTTTTAGTGTCGCCCAGGATTTGAAAATATACGTTTTATTTAAAATATGAATAATAAAATTTTTTACATTGTACATTTTCACAAACTCAAACTTCTATAACGTTTCAATTTCTTAATTTATTTCACTTCTACAAAAATCTGCCAAATGTCTTCTTTAAAACGAGAACAATCTTACGTCTATATTTCAAAGCATTCTTGAATTACAACCATTTAAGTTTGATTTAGCCTTAGTTTGTGTTGCATTTCACCAGCGTGTGTTTTGAACAGTTCAAAATTCGAATAATTTTGCAAATGCAATTGGATAAATTGATTCGAAGCTTTCAAAAGTTCACTAGTTCAGTCATGAACCCCTAGAGTTTGCAGGCTTTACATTAAATCAGTAAGCATCACCTCATTACCACATATCAGGGACACAATTATAAATATACAAATATACAACTGTCTACTACAGGATTGTAGTCTCCCTGAGGGAAAATTTTATTTCCCCTCGTTAATTTATCTAAATCGTTAATTTATCTAAATCGACAACTTGTATGCTAGACCTGACTAAAATGCTAGAAATGCTAGATACTAGACCCTATTCTGACTAAACTACTGAAAGAGATGCTTCCAGATGTCATAGATCCTCTTCTTAATATCATTAATTCGTCTTTGACTCTTGGATATGTACCAAAAACCTTTAAGTTGGCAATCATTAAACCACTTGCCAAAAAAAAAAAAAAAACGCAACTTGATCCTACAGAATTAGTTAATTACAGGCCATTCTTGAATCTCTCTCTATTAGTGTTACTCGATCTTTGTGCTGCATTTGACACAACTGACCACAGCATTCTTTTAAATAGACTACAAAACTATGTTGGCATTTGTGGAACTGCATTAGCATGGTTTAAATCATACTTATCTGACCGTTATCAGTTTGTAGCAGTAAATGAAGAGATGTCTTATCGATCACAAGTTCAGTATGGCGTCCCACAAGGCTCAGTACTAGGACCGCTGCTATTCACTCTGTACATGCTGCCATTAGGAGATATTAGGAAACATGGCATTAGCTTTCACTGTTATGCTGATAATACTCAGCTCTATATTTCTTCAAAACCTACCAATTTACCAAACGTTACCAAACCTTACCAAACGAAACTTACCAATTTACAAAATTAACGGAATGCATAGCTGATATATAAAAATTAGATGACTAGTAATTTCCTACTACAAAATTATGAAAAAACAGAGATTCTAAATATTGGACAAAAAAACGTCCTTACAATACTGTCTAGCACTTGATGGCTGCTCTGTTAAGTCTTTGTCGTCGGTTAGGAACCTGGGTGTGCTCTTTGATACCAATCTCTCATTTGAAAGTCATGTGTCTAGAATCTGGAAAACCGCATTTTTCCATCTTAAAAATATCTCTAAATTACACCATATGCTCTCATTGACAAATACGGAACAATTAAAGGGTTAGTTCACCCCAAAATGAAAATTTTGTCAGTATTTACTCACCCTCATGTTGTTCCAGCCCCGTAAGACCTTCGTTCATCTTCGAGACACAAATTAAGATATTTAAGATATTAAGATCGCTCCTGCATACTAGTCCATAGGCTTCTTGAGGGAATGAATCTTGCTGTCCTCGAAAAGTCATTAAAGACATCGTTAAAATAGTCCAAGTGACTACAGGGGCTCAATCTTAAGTTTATCAAACGACGAGAACACTTTTAGTGCGCAAAAACAAACCAAAATAACGACTTTGGTTTGTTATTTTGCAATAATCAACAGTAGTAGTATCAGCAGAAAACCTAGTCCAGCAAGACCAAATACATTAACATTTTCAATAACATGCTAAAACTAGTTCAAGAGTTGTCGTTATTTAATCTCTATCCCCATTCCTGTTTGTTTAGCAGATGAGGGCGTTGCTGAGAAAGTTGAACTGAGGACAGTGTCGGTGACGATTGGAGAGCCCGTCACTCTAAACACTGGCCTCACTGAAATACAAAGCTACGATGTGTTACAGTGGAGGTTTGGAAAATTAGGCACAGATGAAACAAATCCTTTTGAAGTCGTCACCAGACTGAATGAACTGAACAATAGCGGTTGTCACGATCATAATGGCCGATTTCACCTGGATCGCAAAACTGGATATCTCACTATCAATGACATCAAACCTACAGATATTGGAGTTTATAAACTAAATGTCACCAGGAATGGGAGAAATATAATCTCCAAGATGTTTATGGTCCAAGGTGAGTAGCACAATTCTGTCAATGTAATAAATTTGACTGGATTTATTGGATAAATTTGTCCCTCTTGTATATTTTAAATGTTTTTGAGTATTTGGAATTGTAACATCAACACTTTTTGACACTATCTTACAGATTCCTCAGGAAGAGAAGAGGAGAAAAATCTCTTGTCTACAGAGAGCGGTCACCCTTGAAAATGTGTTTGAATTATTGTGCATGCCTGTGAATTTTTTTTATTAAATTGTATTTTTTTATTTTAAGGTTTATGAAACATGTTACCATTAACCGTGATCTTGTCTGTTATGCAGATATTAATTTCATGTATTTTTCATGCCTGTTAAAGGATTATTAGGAACACCATACTAATACTGTGTTTGACCCTCTTTCGCCTTCAGAACTGCCTTAATTCTACGTGGCGTTGATTCAACAAGTATTCTTTAGAAATGTTGGCCCATATTGATAGGATATCATCTTGCAGTTGATGGAGATTTGTGGGCACGAAGCTCCCGTTCCACCACATCCCAAAGATGCTCAATCGGGTTTAGATCTGGTGACTGTGGCGGCCATTTTAGTACAGTCAACTCATTGACATGTTCAAGAAACCAATTTGAAATGATTCATGGAGCATTATCCTGCTGGAAGTAGCCTTCAGAGGATGGGGACATGGTGGCCATAAAGCGATGGACATGGTCAGAAACAATGCTCAGGTAGGCCGTGGCATTTAAGCGATGCCCAATTGGCACTAAGAGGCCTAAAGTGTGCCAAGAAAACACCCCCCACACCATTACACCACCACCACCAGCCTGCACAGTGGGAACAAGGCATGATGGATCCATGTTCTCATTCTGTTTACGACTCTACCATCTGAATGTCTCAACAGAAATCGAGACTCAGACCAGGCAATATTTTTCAAGTCTTCAATGGTCCAATTTTGATGAGCTCTTGCAAATTGTCGCCTCTTTTTCCTATTTGTAGTGGAGATGAGTGGTACCCAGTGGGGTCTTCTGCTGTTGTAGCCCATCCGCCTCAAGGTTGTGTGTGTTGTGTCTTCACTGCATACCTCGGTTGTAACGAGTGGTTATTTCAGTCAAAGTTGCTCTTCTATCAGCTTGAATCAGTCGGCCCATTCTCCTCTGACCTCGAGCCTCAACAAGGCGTTTTCGCCCACAGGACTGCCGCATACTGGATGTGTTTCCCTTTTCACACCATTCTTTGTAAACCCTAGAAGTGGTTGTGTGTGAAAATCCCAGTAACTGATCAGATTGTGAAATACTCAGACACCAACAACCATGCCACGCTCAAAATTGTCTAACCCTCTGACTTTTTTTCTTATAAGTTCAAAAGAATTACACTGCTGATTTTGATCTTACATATAACTGTAATACATCATTCGATCCTGTTAAGTGTCTGTCGCAATAAAAACAAAGTTTTCTGCTGTTTGTCAAATAAAGAAAAATAAACATGATGTGCGTTTTGCCTTCTGTCAGTGAAGTTCATCTAAAACGCGTCCGAAAAATGAACTGTAAGTAAATACTTGTCACAGAGACACGAAAGATTTCTCTTTATGAAGCTGAATTTCTCTTTTTTTAAATGAAGTAATTTATATAAAAAACAACTATTCTCATTTGATGTAATCTGTATGAAAAGAGAGAGATGTCAGTCTTTTTCCCTTCACCTAATTTTAATTATTATAATTATTTTAAACGTCACTATAATCATTATGACCTGCAGAAAAAGTGCAGTTTCCCACAGTAAATTGTACTGGGAAAAACCAGCCAAACACTTCACAAATAAAGTGAAGGAAAAAAAATGAAACTGCTAGATTTATTCATAAAGTGAGTTTCAAAAAGCTTTTACTGCACTAGAGCGCTATCTAGTGTTCCAGTGTAGCTTAGCTCAGTGTTATACATTTATGCATTTTGATAAACACAGCCGCTATGAGAGAATCAGATCTGTTTAATGGCATTTATTATTAAATCTTTTTGGCGCAGCTTTGCAAACCACTGATGCTTATCAATAATTTCCAATGGTTCATGAGTAGAACATTTTCAGTATGGTGTACGAAGTGGTGGCCAAAAAGTTTTTATTTTTTCCCACTTTATACTGTAGCGCTTACTAGTATCTATTTTGTATTTTTGTCTATTAAAGTTTTCTTTGTGTCTTTATGGTTCTTAATTTGAGGTTTAAGTGTGATGCTACACATGCTTTGGTAATATAAATCTAAAAATATTTGTCTTCTCAATAAAGCATCTTAAAATGGAAACAGAATAGCACGTAAATTAATTTCAGTTCAGTTTTATTTAAATAGAACACATTTAAAAAGTGTTGTACGCATAAAATGAACGAATAAAGTGCTGTACATATATATATATATATATATACATATATATATATATATATATATATATATATATATATGTATATATATATATATATATATACATATATACATATATATATATATATATATATATAGGCAAGACCACAACTTGGTTCATCTGCTGATCCTTCACTCTAAACAATGCTGGGTTGTTTGAACCCAAATTTGAGTAAAATATGGACAAGCCCAAATGTTGGGTTAAATGTAATTTCAAATTTGAACCCAATTTTAACTTACACTTTCAACTGTAAATTTTCTTTATTGCATTTTTAACCCAACATTTGGGTTTGTCCATTTTTGACCCAAATTTGGGTTGGTACAACCTAGCATTTTTTAGTACTCTTTTGTGCACAATGTGTAACTAAAATCCTTCATATTATATGATATTATAATCATTGTTTTTTTATTTTATTTTGTTATATGTATATGAATTTGTATGTAATTCCTTGACAATGTTCTTATTGAGCATTAAAAAAAATGATGCACAGACATACGCAGCACAACATTTGGGGCGGGGTTTCAGAGAGAGGGCGTGTGTTTGGAGATGGGGGCGTGGCCTAATGCCGTCTGGAGGAAGTTAGAAAATAGATCACACTTGTTCTCTACACATCTTCACTGCAGGCGCTCACAAGTTTTCAGACTGACTGAAACTTTTTCTGACCACTGAAATATTGAAGAAAATGTTTCACGCGTTTGCTTTTTGCTGTTGCTGTCTGGTTGGTAAGTTTATGTTGTTTTAACAGTTGCATGTTATTTGTGTGGAGCTCAAATGAACTTTAGTTGCATTAATAAATGATTACAATTATTAACTTGTGCAACTGATAATCTGTTCCTATGTTTGTTCTTCAGGTGTGTTTGGTGATGAAGTGAAGTCAGTGTCAGTGATGGAGGGAGATTCAGTCACTCTAGAATCTGGTGTTACTGAAATACAGACAGAAGATATGATAGCATGGCGGTTTGGACATCAAATAATAGCTCTAATTGATAAAAAGTTTGGAATCTTCAGTCCATCTGATGTTCCTGATGGGAGATTCAGAGACAGACTGAAGCTGGACGATCAAACTGGATCTCTGACCATCACACGCACCACCAACACACACTCTGGAGAATATGAAGTGACCATCATGAGCAGAAGTTTCAGAATGACCACATACAGATTCACTGTTACTGTCTATGGTGAGTAGAGAATTACAGCTCACTTTATTATTTATTAGCGATTTGTTTTTATCATAATTATCCTTAATACTGTAAACTTTAAAAAGTATTAATAAAATTATATTATATTAATCCAAAGACATTGAAAAACCATGAGGAAAACCTCTAACTTTTGTAGTGCATGAATAATTTGTCCCTGTCACACACACCTGTCATATGAATATGTGAAGATATCATGCGAGCAATGGCCAGGCACAGATATGATGAAACATCTCCATGCAAAAGCTTTTTATTTTTGCACACCGAGTGTACATTTACATGAAAACTATGTATTCAAAACAGAAAAGTTTTGCAACTAAAACTGGTTCTCTACTTTAACCCAGGTTATTGTCATTCTAAACCCCAGGTTTAGCACAGCATTGTAATCGGGGTTATACTGTTAAAGAGACGTTTTTTCCCGCTGTTAACCCGGGTCCAAACGTGAGCAGTGTGGTGTGTTAGATACGGCTAGATACTCGGCAACCGACAACCAATCACGTGCTTCATATTCACTGGTATTGGGCCTGGAAACACAGCGAGGTCAAGAGACCGTTTCATTCTTACCTTTATAGTTTGAAAAGTACATTCATTATAAACTTGATATTACAGTCAGCATTATATGATGATGCACACAACACTAGAGCCTTTATGTAAACATATCATATGCGGTGTAGGCTACATATGGTTAACATATGAATGACACGGCCAGTGCGTGAGAGTTGGCAGCTATGTGACGTGCAGTTGAGGAAAGTGTAACGGAGGAAAGCTAGAAAGAGCTGAGCTGGTAAACCTCACTCCCCTGATCTTAAGATCTGCACTAGCAACTGATGCTAGAGGCTTTAGCATCCTTGCGATGCCCACTTCCAACGCCAGAAATACTGGTTCGGAGACTACTGAGTCGTGTGTGTAGAATCGCTGGAACCTGTGTGCAGCAGGATTTATTAATAAATAAACAATATAAATATTACAATAATTCAAGACGTAGTTAAACACAACAGCTTTGTGTACAAAGAAATAGCCAACAAATTGCAGTGCTATTAATACAATAAATTTGAAATCAACTAAACTAGACACATGTGAAGGGGAAATCAAAAACCTAATGCTATGGAAACTAAGGGAAACAGAACTGTGAAAACATCTGTCTCTGAATGGCATGAACGAGACTAGACATCACACTACACGTTATGACACTGTGTGAAATTATATCCAATGTTATTTATTTAAGGTACATGGATGAAAAAAGTGCATGTGCTGTAAGCGGTAGACCAATCACAACTGACTGGGCCATCTGACCAATGAGATCGGAGCAGGCCAATCACTGATTAATCAGAGCAGAGTTGACCAATCACAACAGACTGGACCATCTGACCAATCAGAGCAGAGTAGACCAATCACAACAGACTGGGCCATCTGACCAATCAGGGCAGAGTTGACCAATCACAACAGACTGGACCATCTGACCAATCAGAGCAGAGTAGACCAATCACAACAGACTGGACCATCTGACCAATCAGAGCAGAGTAGACCAATCACAACAGACTGGACCATCTGACCAATCAGAGCAGAGTAGACCAATCACAACAGACTGGACCATCTGACCAATCAGAGCAGAGTAGACCAATCACAACAGACTGGGCCATCTGACCAATCAGAGCAGAGTAGACCAATCACAACAGACTGGGCCATCTGACCAATCAGAGCAGAGTAGACCAATCACAACAGACTAGGCCATCTGACCAATCAGAGCAGAGTAGACCAATAACAACAGACTGGGGCATCTGACCAATCAGAGCAGAGTAGACCAATCACAACAGACTGGGTCATCTGACCAATCAGAGCAGAGTAGACCAATAACAACAGACTGGGTCATCTGACCAATCAGAGCAGAGTAGACCAATCACAACAGACTGAGACATCTGACCAATCAGAGCAGAGTAGACCAATCACAACAGACTGGGCCATCTGACCAATCGGAGCAGAGTAGACCAATCACAACAGACTGAGCCATCTGACCAATCAGAGAGTAGACCAATCACAACAGACTAGGCCATGTCGTGGAAATTCTTTGCCTAGAACACAATTAAAGAACATATTAAGATCTCGAAAGTTGGAAGTATAATTATTTATTTCTTGCAAGAAAGGCTGTTCACACACAGAGTCTGATATGAGAAGGGCAAAGTTCTAATCATCTTACACAGTTTATTTACAGAAGAACATCCTCCAAAATGTACCCCTCCCCTTCTTATCATCATACAAGAGCTTTTGTTATTCTTAACCCAAAGGCCTTACGTACATAGTTCTCAGTTCTCCATATTCTAACACTTCTTATCTATGTATATCCACATGTAAAACACATATGTCATTTCAAAAACAAACAACCCATTCAAAACAACTAAATATAGACCCCTTTTGCGCCGACGTCACAGTTACGTCACGGCGCTAGCTGGAGGCAAAACAAAGTGAAAACTGGAGGCGGCCAATACAAAACAGCACAGATTCGGCTTCATAATAAGGAGCTTAAATAATTGTTACTATTATTAAATGTCATCTTGTTGTGTTGTTTGGTGCAAGAATTGATGAAAAATGAATATGCTGTATCTGGAACTTTTATTTCTAGAAAATATTCACATCATTAAAATCGCACTGTAATGTCACTCTTTACATTGTCGTGGTCTCGGCGCTGACTCGGCAGAACTGCGGATCGTACACACAAGTCTTGTACAAGAACATAGGCATCTAAAGATTTATATGCCCTCAGTTTCTCTTTACGATCGGTTTCTCTATAAGGTAGGTGTAGAAGTCAGGCCACTCAACTGAGGTAACGTAACATTAATCCTGTCAGATCGTCCATCATTGAGTGAGCGTGTAGGCGGCTACGGGTCGGCCAAGTTCCGTCCGTTAAAAATAACTTTTGGAAATAACAATCGCGGTCCTGGACACTGAGTGACCTTACACATTAAGATTATATCGGATTTTCTCCAGTCATTGTTAAAAAAAACAAGCTAACAATCCTTGCTAACTAGCGTTAGTGAAGCGGCCAGATGGATCTTTCTGCCTCCACCTAAGCTCCGCCCACAAAAAACGTCACCATGTTTACCAACTGTAAAAGGGTCTATATGTTTTGCTGTTGGTGCAAGCAAGCTTATCTATTTTCGAGAAGAACCGAACCTTTTGTCTTTCCGCACACGTCCCATTGACACATTTGTATAGGAGATAATGCTTCTTGCAGTTTCTTTAACACATCTAAATTTTAAAGAACACACTAACAAATATACATGTAGAAATATATTTGTTTCAAGAGATATATTTAAAAGAAAAAATTGGATTATAGCCATCTGACCAATCAGAGTAGAGCAGGCCAATCACTGACCAATCAGTGCGGAGTAGACCAATCACAAGAAACTGGGCCAGACCAATCAGATAAGAGCAGGCCAATCACTGACCAATGAGAGCAGAGTAGACCAATCACAGCAGACTGGGTCATCTGACCATTTAGAGTAGAGCAGGCCACTGACAATTTGACTGGGCCATCTGACCAATCAGATTAGAGCAGGCCAATCACTGACCAATCAGAGCAGAGACGGGTCACGGTAAGGTTTAAAGAGACTTTTTTGAACAAATGTTTTTTTTTTTTTTGGCTTCTTTGAAGAATTAGGTAATGTTCAATGTATGAGAAAATGAAAGTGTTTTTGATATTGGATGCAGGTAAATCTAAGTTAGAGACAATCAGGAGCCATTAAAATTGCATAAAAGTGGCACTTTTTCAATTTTCTGATATGGAATATATGAATGTTGTTTCATCTGTTGGATAGAGTGTGTGTGCAGAATGTGTTTTATCACTGGACGTTTGTGTTTAATGTGCTTTAGTGTTTGCATGTCTTGAGGAGTGTGTGTTCCTGTGAATCACGTGGGGTTGAAGGAGCGACAATTTAACTTCCTCATTTGAGAAACAATTTTACTGTGAACTAAAGATACAGAATCAGTGAATGTTAATGTTTGACAAATAAAACTTACAGTCTGTGAGATGTTAATATACATCACTGTGTGTATGTGAAATATAATAATAGATTAATGTTCAGCTGTATCAGGGCATCAGTAGACCTGCCAATCAGGCTCCTCCAACGGCAGCCAATCCCTGCACACATATGCAAATCAAGTCAAGTCAAGTCAAGTCACATTTATTTATATAGCGCTTTTCACAATACAGATTGTATCAAAGCAGCTTCACAGTGATAACATGTAAGTAGCACAACACAGATCAACAACATTGCTAAACACTAAATAACCCCAACTGAGCAAGCTCAAAGCAAGCCAAAAGCAAGGCGACAGTGGCAAGGAACCAAACTCCATCAGATTGGATGGAGAAAAAACCTTGGGAGAACCCAGGCTCAGTCGGGGGCCAGTTCTCCTCTGGCTTACATTCATATTGTTTAAATATAAATATTAAATATAAATATTGTTTATGAATCAAACGGCGCCATAACATATCGCAGGCGTTGAGTCGTCTCATCACAGGCGTTGAGTCGTCTCATCACAGGCGTTGGGGCATCCGAAATCCCCGTGAGAGGCTGGACACAAAACTGGACCTGACGAACGCCATTTTTCTCGGGACAAGCGTCCCGAGATAACAGCAGAAAGGCAGATGGGAAATAATTAGCATAGCTGATGTTCATAATAATTTCCGTTATAACTCACAAACTCTCCGTAACCCGAACTCTCCGCAACCCAACCATACGCGCCGACCCGTTTGTCTAAGAGGCTGTCGAGCCCCACTGGTGCGTTAAGCAGTTTCAGTGGCAAACGGTTCCGTATGGCATAACAGAGGACTAGAAGGTAAGCATTATGTGAATGCTTGACTAAAGAGATGCGTCTTTAATCTAGTTTTAAACTGTGTCAGCGAGTCAGAGGCTCGGACCGTATCGGGAAGGCCATTCCAGAGTTTTGGAGCTAAATGCGAGAACGCCCTCCCTCCTTTACTGGACTTCGATATCCTAGGAATGACCAGAAGCCTTGAATTTAGTGATCTTAAGGAACGCGGTGGATTGTAGGGCGAAAGAAGGTCAAATCAGCAACCCATAATGCCGAGTTCAGACTGCATGATTTTCAAAGTAGTCGGGTCGCTGCTCTTTTGCATGACTATCTTGGCCAGCATTCAGTCGCTGCTGTGTTCACACTGGACGATTGATCGGTGACAGAAGGTTTCGCACTGCATGACTTTACAATGGGAAAAATCGCCGTCGGACTCTGTCTAGCACGCTGCGTGCAAACTACGTTTCACAACAAACACACGTGAGATGTGAAAAGGAAACACCGCGACACCACACGTGCAAGACCGGAGTTCTCACGTGAGACTTTTTTTTTTTCCGACCCGGTTGTGGTACAGCTGGTGAAACGTCAAACAGACACGAGTGCTCCTGCCAAATTTCTACTAATTTTTCTTCCATTTATTGTGTCCAAATAGACCGAGACGAAGCTTTTTTTCTGAAACAATGCCATATCATGTTTATAGACCATTTCACAAGATGTAAACAACACTGGTCCAGAAGCTCTTCCTGTTTCAGTTTTTTTAACACTAAAAAATATCGGGGATAAAATACAACCAACAGAACATTTAAAACTGAATCAAAAAGTTAAACAAACATCTTTAAGATGTTTTCTTTACATGTGAAATAAAGAAAACAGTTACAAACTGAAACAGGAAGTGCTTCTGGACCAGTGCTGTTTACATCTTGTGAAATGGTCTATATGTGATCTATAACTCCTCCCCGAACTCCCTGCTGCTCTGTATCTTGCTCTCTCACTGGCTGCCGGTGATCGCCGATGTAGTTTTCAGTCAAAACACTTTTCACACAGCAGGATTTTGAATCGCCGACAGGTCCAGATATTTAGCATGCCAAATATCTCACGGGCGTCGGCGACTCGTCGGTGATTCTCCCAGATCTCGTCTTTGCTCATTCACACTGCGTGATTGTCACTTGCGTGAACGAGCGCCGATTTGCCTGTGATTTCGGGCATTTGTCGGCGATTTCTCAAAACCTGTCGGCGAGCCAAAATCGTGGCTAAAATCATGCAGTCTGAACTCAGCTGCATACAGTCAAGCGTAAAGTCAATCACTTTAAAGCTTGAAACAGGTGTCAGTTCCCTTCTGTGTGAAAACTGTTTTAAATGTGTCATGAAACTCTCATGTTTTTCTGCTCGTCTGCCTGTTCCTGTCATCAACAGAGACTGTTCATCATCATCATCTTCATGTTCACTGGTGTGTTCAGTGGTGAATGTGTGTGATGCGACTCTCTCCTGGTACGCAGGAATGAGTGTATTGTCCAGCATCAGTGTGTGTGATCTCAGCATTCATATTTCTCTAATGTTTTCCAGCTCGTCTTCCCATTCCTGTCATCGCTAGTTACTGTCCTCAAAATCCTTCATCATCATCAGGATCATCGGTATCCAAATGTGTGCTGCTGTGTTCAGTGGTGAATGTGAGTCATGTGACTCTGTCCTGGTACGCAGGAATGAGTGTATTGTCCAGCATCAGTGCGTCTGATCTCAGCATCAGTCTCTCTCTACCTCTGGAGGTGGAATATCAGGATAAAAACACCTACAGCTGTGTGCTGAACAATCCCATCAGCAACCAGACCACACATCTGGACATCAACACACTCTGCAGACACACATGTGCAGGTACGGCGGCGCTCATCAGATAATGTGTGTGTGTGTTTACTGACCTGATCTCTGTCTTCTGTTGTAGATCAGACTGATGCGTTCACTTCCTTCTTTAACATTACAGGACCGGTGGTCGTGGACGGTCCGTCTACTTCACAACCAGTCTCAACTCAACCCTGCCACACATCTGCAGGTACAGCAACACTGATCATATTAATCACATTAAATCACTGATGTGTGGATTATCAAGACTTATAACTTAAGATCCCAGACATGATGAATGAGCTTCTGTAATCTGATGTTTCTAAAACTGTTTTTCATTTGTATTTCTTGTGTGGAGCTAAAAAATGACATATTTTTAGGTTCATGTAAGACTAAAGACAACTTGTTGAAAATCTTACTTTGATCATTTGTTTCATCAGTTTCTTCCGAAGGCCACGCCCCCTTTTGTGAGTCTGCTGAAGCTGTGCTGCGATTGGTCGTCACTGCGCTGATGGGCGTGGCTTCTGCGGTTGCTGTTGTTCTTCTCGTCATTGACGTCAGATCTACAAGAGCTAACATGAAGGAAACAGATGATATATAAAAATTGTCGCATGGCATATACATTATTGTATTTTGCAAACGTAAAGATGAAAATTATGTGCGGTCTAATTGTTTACTGATGGTAAAACGAAGCTTTGCTTTCTTATTCTCTCCATCTGAGGCTAAAACTATGAATATCATTTAATATTTCATTGTAATCTTTAATGCAAGCCATTTCATATTTTTTTAATTACATTGTTTTAATTGTTTTTCCTATTTTAATTTCCTTTCACAAATGTATGCAGCAACTCCTTAAATACAAATGTATAAATATTTGTCACAGCAATAAATCACTGTAGAGTTTAACTGAATATTATTATTGAACTGATATACAGCTATGAATCATAAATATGCCAATATTATAACTGAAGGGGAGTCATAATAAGATTAAACTATGAATTCAGATTCAGATTGAAGGACTGTTGAATAAAAACACATTTAAAGCATTACAGTTTATAAACACACTGTACAATTTATTCTGGAACGATTTCGAAATCTTATTGATATTCATATTCATGATATAAGTGTTTAATGCATTTTTTTTCTCTCATTTTGGCAGCTAGTGCAAATAATGTGATCTAATCTTGTGGCATTGAATAATAATAAAAAAAAACATACATCAGATTTCAGAAATATTATGATCTTTAATCTATAATAGTGATTTACATGTATGCATTTGAGATGTTTTTCTTTAAAATTACTGTATTGTGTTGTGTCCGTTTCATTTAATTGCCATCCATTTTATATTTCTTGGCCAGTTACACAGGTTTTACGCTTCGTGTGTTTGCACATTGTAGTAATTCATAATGCACATATTTGGACATAATATAAAAAGTAATACATTATTATTGTAATAAAATGCACATCATGTATGGCAGGTAATTATTAAATAATAAAACAGTAAAACAACATGAAAATCACCACTGTGGTAGACAGTGAGATGTAGAACAATTATCTGGTGGAGTTTGCGGAAAACAATTTGATTTTATTTATTTTATTATTAATATATATATTGAAGTCTGCCGACACCAAGCGCATACACCTTGAGCCTACCACGCAACCGCGTGTAGACGCGCAATATATTTTTAAGCACAGATGGCGTGACCGCGCTTTTCTGAAGCACAGATGGCGTGACCGCGCTTTTGAACTGCCTATAATGTCTTCACTCGAAAGGCGGAAATCCTGGATTCAGCTGGTGTCAACATGATTCCCAAGGAGAACGTAATGATTCTTAGTTAGTATAAAGTATCTTTATTGTTGTTAAGTCGGTTTGATAATAGTACGAACATTGAATCGCAGTCAGATCGTAGATGTTGGTAAACGCAGCGCTGAAGGCTAACCGTAAACAAACATTCAAGAACGTTGTAGTTTTTTTTTTTTAAATCGCGTTTGACCCACATAAACAACAACATGTGGCTCACTGGTGTATTTCTATGGTTTATTCGGAAAGGTAAGTTTTATCTTCGATACTTGCACTTTCACGTCTTTCACTATTAAGTTTAGGCGATCGCGATTAACTCGGTTTCAACACTCAATCTAATACTAGCCTACACATATTTAATTATTAAAAATATTCATTAGTCAATCTCAGGCAACTTTATTTACATTTTTCAAGGTGTCTAAGAACCTTGAATAACACAAGAACAACAGGCGTCTGTTATCATGAAACTCGTGTGCCATTTAAAAAGCATGTTTATTAATTTCCTTGTTTTCCTGAAAAGAAAGCGTTTATTTTAAAGAAATTGTTGGTTATACGTTCAAATAATTGATATTGGTGACAAAAAAAAAATCACTTTATAATAAGGCAAGGTGTATTTTAATAAAAAACCCTTTTTTAAAAATATTTTTAAAGAATAACGAAGCCTCAAATTTATATATTTTTTTCTTTTGTGTAATTTAATTTATTGAACAATAACTGATAAAAACAGTGGTTTAACATTATGTTTAAAAGCTACTCAGTCGCCTACCTAACCTGGATTTGTTTGACGTGATGAAATCTTAAAAACGTAGTAATGTTTGCTCTCCAGGTGTGTTTGGTGATGATAAGGCAGTTTTGGAGGGAGATTCTGTCACGCTACACACTGGTCTTACTAATATAAAGAAATATGAACGCGTATTGTGGACATTTGGAACCGACAGAACTCGTATAGCCCAGATCAACAACGCCGCCAACAAGGTCTCATTATATGATGTTCTGGATGGGAGATTCAAAGACAGACTGAAGCTGGATCATCAAACTGGATCTCTGACCATCACACACACCACAACTGAACACACTGGACTTTATCAGCTCCAGACCGTTGGTGGAAATGACATCCCACCAAAGCAATTCAGTGTTATTGTTTCTGGTGAGTAGTTTTGCAGTTGCATTGAACTAGCCTACAATATTGTGCTAGTAACCTGAGACAAATTTAGCCAAAGTCACTGAAGTTGTTACTTTGGTAACTTCAGTGATCTCATCGTCCTATCCCCTTGAAGACAACGCTAAGCTGAATGTACAGTATCTGGTTTCTATTGTGAAGGGTAAAATGAGACCTAAGTCTCTTGTCATTTGCTGCGAGCGACCCAAAGAGAGAGTTTGCCATTTTACATGGGTGACTAAGCTTTAGGACTTTTACAGTTGCATTTTGGTCTCATCATCAATATTACAGTTACTTTTAGTGACTGAGATAGTGTCACGGATGGATATGTGATGTTAGCGTACTGTGGATGTTTGCTTAACAATGATATATCCTTCAATGTGACTTCATCAAGGTGTCAATCATTTTTTAATTTATTAAGGCTAATCTTTTACCTAACGTTGTCTCATGTTTTAAAGGTCCTCTGCCTGTTCCTGTCATCAGTAGAGACTGTTCTTCACCATCATCATTATGTTTACTGGTGTGTTCAGTGGTGAATGTGAGTCATGTGACTCTGTCCTGGTACGCAGGAATGAGTGTATTGTCCAGCATCAGTGCGTCTGATCTCAGCATCAGTCTCTCTCTACCTCTGGAGGTGGAATATCAGGATAAAAACACCTACAGCTGTGTGCTGAACAATCCCATCAGCAACCAGACCACACATCTGGACATCAACACACTCTGCAGACACACATGTGCAGGTACATATCGTTAACTGAATTGTTCTGTTCTCTACTTAAAGGTCAAAGGTATTATGTGTGAACTCTCTCTGATCTACTGTTTCATAGTGGATGCATCGAGTTTCTTACCCTTCAGTCATGTGATGATCTTTGTTGGTATATTAGTTGCTCTACTAGTCTTGGCTGTAGCTGGGATGTTCAGTATCTACTTGAAAAATAGAAAAACAGATCAAAAGTGTAAGTATTACTCACAGATGTTAGAGCTAGAGCATCTACATTGTGTTAAAGTGTAAAAAAGAAACTCTTGTGGTTTGTGTTTAAACAGGCCAGACTCCTCTTCCAGATTACACTGAGCTGAGTAATGGTAAGATCCTCTAATATTAATGTCCAGTATGTCATCAAACTCATAGGATATGCTCTGGTCATCAGTACTAACCTTTTGTCTGTCTATCCATTTTTGAACCTAAATTTCATGAATGCTATGAATGAAATGCAAACCTTTTTAAAGAAGTGAAGTGAAAGAAATCAAGCGTACCGGTAGTTCTCACAGGTCACGTCAGTCCAGCTCGTGTCGGCTGATTCTTGTCGACCAATTGGAACACGGCGCCTATCACTGTAAACAAGCCCTTTCAGTGTTATCAACAGCTATCAGGTTTCTCAGGAGCTCATTACTCCATTCCCGGCTCCTTTTGTCAGTCAGGATTTGGCATCTTGATTACTCTTGAATCAGACTAATTTATCAAATTATGTTATTGACATTAATGATATCTGCAAAACATTCATGTTGGTTGCTGCTTTCCTTTCTCTTATCCATGCTATAGTCCAGAACAGAACCGTACCGCCAAATCCTGTATGCTAATTGTCAAGCATCTTTGACAAAAATGGGCTTGACAGAAATTCAATTAATGAAAGAGTAAAAAATATTAGATAAGGTGATGTTTACTTACTTAAAACTAAACTTTTTACTTACAAAATAATTTGACATCATTTAATCACATTAAAATCAAAGCAACATGTCAAACCAAGTTGTGTTCCAAATTTGAATTTGATGTCACAAAAAAACAAACAAACAAAAAAAAACTGTGAAGGATTTAAAGTACTTAAATGAGTAATTTACTTTAAAAAAAACTTTTGCTGATAATTTACTTGTCTTTCTTTAGTCAAAAAGAAATTAAGGTTTTTGATAAACATTCCAGAATTTTTCTCCATATAATGGACTTCAATGGGAACCAAACGGTTCAAGGTCCAAAAGACAGTTTCAGTGCAACCTGCAAATTGTTCAAAGGGCTTTAAACGATTTCAGACGATGAATAAGGGTCTTATCAAGCGAAACGATTATCATTTAAAAAATAAAAATAACAAAGTTTAAGTTTTATAAGCTCAAATGCTTGCCTTGCTCTGTACTGTGATGGACGTTTGTGACAAAATAATGAACAAATCTTTTTTGAATGAACCAAATGACACAGAAAAATATTTGTTCATTTTGATAAACGAGTTCGAACAGGAGAGTCACGAACGCTCATCACAGAACAGAGCAAGGCAAGCATTTGAGCTTATAAAACGTAAACTTTGTTATTTATTTTTGAAATGGCCGATCGTTTCGCTTGATAAGACCCTTATTCATCGTCTGGAATCGTCTAAAGCCCTTTAAACAGTTTGCACTTGAACCTTGAACCGTTTGGTTCCCAATGAAGTCCATTATATGGAGAAAATCCTGGAATGTTTTCATCAAAAACCTTAATTTCCTTTCGACTGAAGAAAGAAAGACATGGACATCTTGAATGACATGGGGGTGATTATCAGCAAAAGTGTCTTTAAAAGTGAACTACTCCTTTAAAACAACGTCCAATTTCAAAATGCCGTTCATAGGATGAATTACGAAATAAAATTTTTAAAAAGTCAAAAAAGTGTGCCAAGTGTCCAGCTGGTTATATCATGCTTGTCCTGAGTGTTTAATCGCTCTCTCTCTGTGTTCTTGTATGTTGTCCAGGTGAAGTTGTGGATGTAATAAAGACAGTGTCGGTGACGTTTGGAGAGTCCGTCACTCTAAACACTGGCCTCACTGAAATACAACGCTTCGACGTGTTACAGTGGAGGTTTGGAGAATTAGGCACGGATCAAACAAATCCTTTTTTAGTCATCAACCGAGGAAATAAACTGAACAACAGCGGGTGTGATGATTATGATGAGAGATTCAAAGACAGAATACATCTGGATCAACACACTGGATATCTCACAATCAATGACATCAGACATACAGACATTGGCATTTATAAACTAGTTATCACTGGGATTGGACAAAATATGATCTCCAAAACATTTATTGTCCTAAGTGAGTATCTCAAATCTGTCGGTGTAATAAATATACATCCGGTGTCAACTAGTTAGATGCTCTGAGATTAACCATTTATAAGTTTTACTGGGTTGTTTGATAGGATTTTCCTATAATGCATTAAAAATAAATATTATTTAATTATCAAGTGAAGGAAACAATTCAGTAATGCTATTGAGTGTTTATGTATACATAATCATATCAGTATCTTAAGGCATATGAAAATGTCATATTTGGTCATCACATTACTGTACAGAAACAAACGAAATCCAGAATCAACCTAACAAAAGCTAAATGTTTCAAACAATAATCTTTCTTTGATTCTTCCAGATTCCAATGGATATGGAGAGACGGCATCAAAAGGATCAACGTCACCGCTAATGAATGGAGATGTCTCTGAAACCACTTGTTAGCAACTTTTCCATTATCCTTTTTTTTTTAGATAAAAATGTTCTGCATTTATGAACTGGAAACGGGTTTAAAATGAACGGTGTTTACCTGTGAAAAATATCAGGACAAAGTGTTATGATGTCCATGTTATGTTGTTTACATTTTATAGTGTTAGTTTGAACTTCTTCGGTGTTTATGAATGACATCGTGTATGTTTGAACGTGTTCTGCCCTCTAGTGGATCTTAGTTAAAAGTTGTGCTGTTTAAAACAGTGGTATAATGTGAATGAGAGACTGCAGACGGTTTGTTTGATAACTAAATATAGCCTCACTAACAACGAAACACAAATGCATTTATTTATTTGTAACTGTTTAATAAAAATAAAAGTCTCATGAAGTTGTCCTAATTGTCTCATGTCAAATAATAACTATACTCAGAATGACAGAAACAATCATTGGGGGAGAAAAACATATATGTAGTGTAATTTCATTTCATTGGATCAGATAGAGAGGGCGGTGCTTGAGTTTTGACGGGGGCACTAACACGTATCCATCACTGTATCGAATGCCGATCGAACGTCAAATGCTTCTTCCGGTATGAGTTTATGGAAAGTTATTCATTCAAGTTCCCATTGGGAAATTCTAATGAACTTACTTCCCCTTCTTTTTTTCTTCAAAATCAGATTTAGGATACCACTTTTACGGATTTACCCATCATTGAAGTTAAGAAGAGTCACCATGATGTCTTGGCTAAAAATACAATAAAACGACTAAAATATAAACTATGTGAATCATCGATGTCAGGAAGGGAATTGGGTCATTTCGATTAGGCGACGAAGGGAGTTTAATACATCCATAAAGGAAACCTTTATTAACTCACCTTTTACTCGGATGCACAGAAATATGAAGATTTTTGTTTTGTTTTTCGTACCGTTACTCCTGGATGATGGTGAGCAGATTTAAAATCTATTTTCACTTTACAAACTTCAATGAAATATAAAATAAACAAACGATGATGACTAGCCTACAAATTGCCGAATTCGTGTTAATTTAGATATGTTTTTGAGCGTAAAGAAAATGTCCTGGTGGTGTAGTCTGGAGAAAGACAAACGCCCATGAATGTGTGTGTATTACAGGTGCTAGTGGAGAGCATTACTATCATCATTGCGTAATTTTGAGCGTGTAAAATGGCATTTCGCACGCGCGAAGTGAACTGAGTTGAGGAAAAATGTTCGTCTCGCAGATAAGAAAATATTTTGAGGGAACGAAAAGCAATTTTGCATTTAAAATACATATTTGCACAGACGTTCGCAGACGTTCTTTCTCATGTGCAAAGTTTCACTTTCTGTCTCTCATAACCAGCCCTGAGCGCTCTCTCTCGCAGACGGCTCGATTGCTCGGGGTTACTATAAGGCATAATAGAGTGCTGAAGAGATGAAGTAAGTCACTTTGCAGGACAACTCGGAAGCTAGCGGCGCATGGGTTCCCTCGATCGAAAAGCTATGCATTTTCCCCATAGACTTTTGGAAAATCGCCAAAAATAAGATCTGTGTTCAACAAAGAGTTGTGACCCTAACGCGTTTTGTCTATAATCTTTACAAGTTAATCCAAAATGTACATTTTGAAGCCTATATAAAGTTTAAAAAAACACAAGCAGACACAATAAAGTTTTTTTTAAAAACACAAGCTGGTTATAACTGCTGTGTTCGTCATAAATCAAAACGTGAACATATTTAGAGGCTTTGTTCACCACAGACCTTATTTCAGGTGATTTAGCAAAAACCCATGGGCGAGAGAACCGGAAGTGCTAAAATGCTAACTCACTTCCGCATTTTGGCCTAAAAAGTGATGTTATAACTTACAAGGGGGTAATCCATCAGCCGGAAGTTGAAGCCTCGCGGGAGCCGCCATTGTTAGCATCCCATTGACTCCCATTCATTTTGGCGTCACTTTGAAAGCGAATAACTTGACATCTGAGGCATCCAAAGTCTTAATTTGTCCATTCCCAGATAGCAAACTGACATTGAATCAACGTGGAAATATGACATCGAAACAACGTTGATCTGACATTGTTTTGCTCATCGAATTAACGTTGAACCAACGTCAGACGCGTCATTCTTTCAAAACTAACGGAAAATCAACTTGAAATCAACGCGTTGTTTCAACGTCATAAAAGTAAACCAATTTTCGATTTTCATTTAGCTTTGAAGAATGCCGCGTCTGACGTTGGTTCAACGTTAATTCGATGAGCAAACTCAACGTTGTTTCAATGTCATGAGAGACGTCGTTTCCACGTTGATTCAATGTCAGTTTGCTGTCTGGGTTATGTATTTCTTAAAGAAACACAACAATGTATAAAATGCTCCATTACTTTGTATCTTACTTTACGGCTCCGTAGAAGCCGTTTTTGTAAAAATAGACTAACAATTGCGTCATAACCACTCGACTGTCCGTCGCACAGTAGAGACATTACCGTATAGCCTAGACAGGAGGAGGATCTCGCAGGCAATCTTTTACTGTCTATGAGGCAATCGGGGGGACATGGAGGCACAAAGTCAAGGGAGAAGTCCATAGAGAGTCCATAAAAGCAACGGGACAAAATATTTCAACAACTTTTTTGAGGATTTAAGTGATTCAGATTTGTTTTGGCACAGCTACTAAAAGATTTACAACTGTCAGACTGTCGTCACGCTCAGTTTGAGCCTGCAGTCGCTCAGACATCAGACAGAAAGTGCAATAATCGGGCTTCTGTCTTATCCGTGGAAATCAATCGGGTCGCTGTGTCCATTTCTTTTACTGTCTATGATAACTTCGGCACTCTATTTCTGTCAATCAGGCTGCTAAATTCTGATTAGCTGGCTTGACAACCAATCACAAGACTCCCTGCATCACCGTCAGCAGAAGAGGAAAAATCTTTTACAGTTACTTTAACTTTAAGTTCAAATGTCTACTACTCGACGACCACACAAAACTAGTTAATTTTTTAACTAAATCAAATCGTAATATTACTGTACACATAATGGCATGTCCCAGTGTTTCCTACACCATTTCCTATTCTTGAGAAAAGGTGTTTTCCCATAGCATAAGCTACTTACGCAGCAATACGAGACCTTTCAAAAGGGAACTGGTTTTTCCTGTTCTCGTAAAATATGGTGTGTGTGGCTGTGATTTTTTTAAACTCTTGTCAAAAGTAAATTGTTTTGACTACATTTTGTTGATGATTGTTTTATTTACCTTTGAGTTAAAATCTAACTAGTACTAGTACTACTATCCCAAAATGTTTTTAACTAGATTTTAGCAGAACTCAACCATACTAAAATTGCATACAAGGCTCATAAATGGGCCACATGAAATTGGATTATTTAGCTCATGCTTACTGGATTTCTGGCACTCCTTTGGTTCAGTTCTGGCAAAGACGTGGGCCATATCTGGGCCGGCAAACACAATCTAATCTGGACCACAGCTCAGCTGATTATCAAGTACCTTTGCTGATGGTGTGGACTTAGACCTGTAAAGACACAAATTAGAAGAACAGATTATTGCTCTTAAAGGGATAGTTTAAAAAAAAAAGTACCCAAAAAATTTAAATATATCATCATTCACTCACTCTGATGTCGCTCCAACTCAAAAAGAGGACAAAAATCCAAACCAAGCTTTTCCATAAATAAAGAGTGAATTGAATATAAAACAGATAATCAGTTAAATAAATCAAATATTCAGTTTATACGTATCTGCATTTAAGAAACGGTTTGTTCTTCAGGTGTGTTTGGTGATACAGTGAAGACATTATCAGTGATGGAGGGAGATTCTGTTACTCTACAAACTGTTGTTACTGAAATCCAGAAAGCTGATCTGATACTGTGGACATTTGGATCTGACAACACTCGGATAGCGCAGATCAACAGATCGAATAATAAGATCTCATATTATGATGTTCTTGATGGGAGATTCAAAGACAGACTGAAGCTGGATCATCAGACTGGATCTCTGACCATCACAAACACCACAACTGAACATGAAGGACTTTATGGATTACAGATCATTGGTGGAAAAGAGGTCCCGCCCAAGAAATACAATATTATTGTTTACGGTGAGTCATTCTATAGTTGCAAAACATTTAATAACTATTTTGTATTTGTCACATTTATATTTAAAACTGGTGCATTCGAGTGTTGTTTGATGTTTATTTTTTATTATATTCTCTCAGGTTTTTCAGCTCATCTGCCTGTTCCTGTCATCAGTAGAAACTGTTCTTCATCATCATCATCATGTTCACTGGTGTGTTCATCAGTGTTGAATGTGAGTGATGCGACTCTGTCCTGGTACGCAGGAATGAGTGTATTGTCCAGCATCAGTGCGTCTGATCTCAGCATCAGTCTCTCTCTACCTCTGGAGGTGGAATATCAGGATAAAAACACCTACAGCTGTGTGCTGAACAATCCCATCAGCAACCAGACCACACATCTGGACATCAACACACTCTGCAGACACACATGTGCAGGTACGACAGCGCTGATATTTCACAGAGATATTCTCAGATTATGTTACAATATTGACACTCTGTCTCTCTCTGCAAGATACAGCAGCCGGTTTGTCTGTAAAGGCAATAGCGCCGGTGTGTGTTGGTGTTGCACTGGTTCTGGTTCTGGCTGCGGTTATACGTGGTATTTACTGTTACCGTCAACACAAGACATCTAAACAAGAAGATCTAGAGGGTATGTGTTACCATCAGCTAATATCACAAAATAAACATTTGAGTTTTATTAAAAGGTTTAATTCAACTTCATTCTTTAAATTAAGTCATTGTTTTTGTACAGGACAACCTGGAACTGAACTTGTAACTCTAATTAATGGTAAGATACAGTTTAAATAGTGTTGCACTGAAATATTGCCAGCCAAAAAGTTAAATGAAACAGCAAAAAACTAATTTTTGGTTTCGGCCAGGGCTGCCAACTCACGCAATTGAGCCAATTCTCACGCTCTCACCCCACACCCCTGATTTCTCACGCTAAAGTGTCAAGCCAGTCGGCAAAATACCTGAAAGACAAGTTTATCTATAAATCCACCAGTTGAGCCACTCGTGATCGACTAGTTTTACCGCAAATAAGTTAAAATATCCTCTAATCTAGAGCGAGCGTACATGCGAGACAGATGTTGAGCTCCTAACGGCGCGGACGCAAAACCAGGACTGGAGTCAAAGCACGTTCCTCTCTGCACTCTAAGCGTTCTGTTATCACTCCGCCTCCATCCACTACGGGTTTTCCAGTCTCACTCACTGGAAAAACTGCTCCGTGTTCAATCGATTTTGTTAAAAGATAATCTTATGTGTTACTGACTGCTCCCCCGACAAAAATACTTTTGTCCTTATTTCTACACTTGAAAGAAATAAACCCTTGAGCTTTTATTTAGGAGAAAACACCAGATAACCATGCTAATCGCGTGAGAAACCATGCTGAGGTGTTTCTCTAAAACACCCAGCACAAACAGAATGCCTATTTTTATGCTGTTTTATGAAGGCAAAAAAGGTCTCCCTTCATGTTAGTTTATACATTTTACATCTCATATGTTCGGCAAAAGGCGGATTCAAACTCGGGTCCGAGCACATCAAAAGCTCTTTCACGAACTACATGCTCTTTCACGATCAACGCCACTGTAGATGTTCCGGGCGTATTTTTGCTATAAAAACAGGCACTAAAGGTGGTTTTAGTGCAAATATAGATTATGCTCCATTTTATTTAATTCTAACCAATACCTGAACTTAACAACTACATTACTATTAGTAAGCAGGAATTAGGAGTTTACTGAGGCAAAGTTGTAGTTCATAATTAGTCAATAATGAGAATAAGACCCTAATCCACACAGCAAAATCACAGCAGCCAAACAAAATCTAAAGTTAATTATTCAAGGGAAAAAGGAGCCCAGCTAAACCAAACACTGATCACCATAATGGTGACTTAAAAATTACGGTTTTCTCCTTCAGTGATTCTGCTTGTTAACATCAGGTGTTCACTTAATTATCTCATTAACTGCTTCAGTGTTCATTTAAAACTCTGCTCAGTGTTAGTGTTAATTTAACACTGGGGATTTTCTAAAGTGAGACCAAATTATTTGTTTTTAAGTCGCGGCTTTTTTAAAGGCTTCCCAGTAAACGGACACAGTTATGATTGGCTAAAGTCACCAAATAGGAAATATTACAAGAGACTGAACAGCAGAATATCAAAATGAGACGTTTTAGGCCGTTTACACGAAAACGCTCGCGGGTGAAAACGTAAAAATATTTGATCGGTTTACACAGCGACAGCGTTTTTGGGGTTTACACTTTCATTTACACGGCGACAGCGTTTTTGGGGCTTAAAAACGCAAAAAAAGTGAAACCACCCTCCCACCCTCACCATGTTCCCGTGTAAAGGGTAAAAACGCAAAAGTCTGCTTGACAGTGAAGGTTGTACGCAGGCGCACGGACTTGGTGTTGTTGTGTGGCAGTGCTCCACATTGCCACCTAGCCGCCTGGAGTGCACACTACATTGCATTTCACACACTTTTATGTCACCACATGCACGCGGATTTCCCACCCAAAACAAAACACTCGTCTAACGCAGAATAAAAAGTGATAACGCAACGGCACTTTTGCGTTTTCTCTTCAGAATCGTTCACATGTAAACATAGCCTTAGGAGCTTGATTAAATAAATGCTTTGTTTTATGATCTATAACTGCAGCGTACATTTAGTGGCGATGACTCATAGACGGTCTCATGGTTTGCTGGACAAGATCTCAGATACACACAAGTTTGATCCCTGTCTGAGAAACTCTTTCTGTTGGTTCTCCAGGTCAAGTTGTTGAGAAAGATGAAATCAAGACAAAACTAGTGATGGTAGGAGATCCTGTGACGCTACACACTGATATCACTGAAATACAGGAGAATCAGCTGATACGCTGGAAGTTTGCGGACTCCAAACGACACAATCGCGCTGAATTTACTATCATCACTGAATGGGATAAAACAAATAATGAGGAACACTTCTATAATGAAGAAAGATTCAAAGACCATTTACAACTGGATCACAACACTGGATCTCTCAGCATCACTAACGTCACACCTCAACTCTACGGACACTATAAACTCCACATCATCAGCGAGGGACAGAAGATCTCAAAGACGTTCAATGTTGTTGCTTACGTGAGTTGGTTGAGTCTTTTAAAGTGATAGTGGTCTTACTGAAGTAAACTGTTATATGTGGCAAATGAATGTGAAAGAGACCTACGGTGGTGGGAAAAATGTGGGATGGGAGAAAGAAATATTTTTCAAGTCTTTTGCGTTCCCTCGCAAAACCTGTTGTGGGCTCAGACAGACACTTTAATGTCCCGCTGTCAATTAATATATTGCCAACTTTAGGCTACTTGAGTTAAGCACTGACTGCATTTCTTCATATTGAGTCCAAGTTCAAACTACGAAACGCTCCATTGTTAATGCATGCAGTTCTGAAACACTGACAGCAGGACATTAAAACGGGTGTGTTTGTAAATCACAGCAGTGTTTGCGAGGGAACGCAAAAGAATCGAAAACTATTTTTTCTCCCATCCCAATTTTTTTTCCACCACCATGTCCTTTTATATATAGGCTAGGGGCTCAATAGAAACCATCTTTGTTTAAATCAAGAGACACATGATGATGACTATAAATGGGGATATCAATCACTTTGCTTTGTTTTCGAACAGGTTCCTCCAATAAAAAGAAAGTGCCGAAGCCAGAGGAGACAAACCTGTCAGTAACGATGCAGGAGGATCATAAAAACTGGAATATTATCCACATTTGAATTCCAAGAAACATTTCTATTTTTACAACCATCTAAAATCCTATGTGACAAAATAAGTTGAGCGTGCAACACGTGCCGACTTAAGACTTTTTGTTTTGTCACACTCAATCGTCAGGAGACAGTTGCAACTATAACCACAACAGTATTTATAAACCGCTGAACTATTATCACACATTAGTGTGAAAAGCAAGATGAAGAATTTCCTTGAGTCACTGCCATATTTGCTCTACTGTGTTTCAAAAGAAGGGATTCTCCATGATTATTAATTTTTTTTTTTACATTTTATGTAGTGCATTTTATGTAATGAAAATGTCTTAATCTATATTTTTTTCATAAATATAAAAAAATCATATTTTTTTTACTAATCAACTTTTTTCTTTCTTTAAATGTTTCATTTAATATATTTTTAAAGAAATATGTGATGTTTGTATGATAATACAGAGCCCCTAAAGGGAAATGGTGATGGAAAAAAAAATATGAGATGGAAGGAAAAATAACGTGTTAATGCTTTTGAGTTCTATCGAAAATTTTGACAAGTTATTTAATGCAAATATTCTCATTTATAAGTTTGATCGAGTATATTTGAAAGCATGTTTATAAGTTGATGTGTCGATCGATTGTAAATGTGCTAATGTAGCAGACAGCATGATGCCCTGAACCGCAACGTAACTTTTCCTTTTTAATCTAGCATTTCGATATTAAAGTCGAAATATTTCAAAATTAAAGTCAAAATATTTTGACTTAATATTTTAGATTATTTAGTCAAAATTAAAAGAATAGTCTTCCATAGAAGTTATTTGTGTGTGTGTGTGTGTGTGCATTTCTTCACACACGCGCGAGTATTGAATTGCAAACACTCGCTCATGCGCTAGGCCCAGTGAACCACACGCAACTTCGAAGACTGTATTAAAGGGATAATCCACCCAAAAAATGAAAATTCTGTCATCATTTACTCACCCTCAAGTTGTTGTTCATTTACTCACCCTCTTTGTTCTGTTGAACACAAATCGGAAGAACGATTGGAACCAAAAAGTTGTTTGGCACATTTCCATAGTAGAAAGAGTGGGGTGGAGTGTCCCTTTAATGTTTCGACTTTATTCTCGAAATATTTCGACTTTATTCTTTCGTTTAGGCTATATTCAGTTTTTTTATGTTGCGGTTGAGGGCTTCCGTATTTGCCCCTCCAAAGCGACGAGATGCAAGGTGGAGAGCCAAATCAAGACAGTAGACAGGTGCGAATTTCGAATTTCCCGATATAAGAATCTACGGAGTCCCTGAAGGGACAAATTTGAGGTGGAAAAAAAATTGAGATGGGAGGAGAAATTGTCAATGCCTCTCTGACTCGCAAATGTTTTGCATTACGAGAAACTGGAAACTGCGGTCTCTTGCAAATCTTTTTGTTCGTTGTGAGTGAACGCAAAGTTTCTCAGGGAGAACACAAAAGCAGCGACTATTTTTCCTCCCATCTTATATTTTTTCTCCTCTTCAGGGCTTTGCAAGAATCAATGCACTACTGCTCACAACTCCCTAAAAATATGAAAAATAGGCCTACACCAGCAAACACAGAACGTTCCCCTAACGTCCCCGTTTGGTTCCAATTTGGTGATTTTTTGAGGAACTAAACAGGTTATTTATATCCCTGCATTTTTAGGTTCTGTTTTTATAACCTAAAGGGAACATTCCCTGATTGTAAAATTGTTAGCTGGGACTTCTCTTTCAAGAAATAAGTTTTCTGTAAAATATAATAATAATTATTATCATATATGTTCTTAAATACTTACATTTATAGGGAAAAAGTGTTACAATTGTAGGCTAATATTTCTTAATTTGTTAAATATTTTATAAAGTAATAGGCTAATCAGCTCAGCTAGAGTGAGTTATAGGCCTAGATGATGACAATTTTTTTTAAAAAAATATTTTAAGCGCTCAAACAAAACGATTGGATGTTGTTTGGATTGTGATTAATGATTATTGGACTATGCTGACTTAAATGTTAAGCAAGAGGAGTTGTGCATGCAGTCTGCCATTAAAAAAAATAAAAATAAATTATGGTGTGCCTAAGGGACATCCATCCTGCATTGTGTTTATTAGTTTACGCTTTTTCGATGAAACAGGTAATTCAACTTTACGTGCTTCACGACATCATCACTCAGAAACTTCCTGATACTCAACTTTAACTTTTCCTCGAGACGCAGATTTAGGCTATACTTTTTACAGCAACCATTAGGAGTATAACTCAAAATAGTCTCTCTGCTGTTGTTAAATCGGTTAGATATAATAATATTAGTTAGCCTACTTTGTTATTTAGATACAATTATGTTAATCGTCGCTGTCAGCGCGTTTAAGAAACAGAGAGCTAGCTGATCGAAGAAAAACCACGAACGCAACTGAACCGATGACCAAATACACTACAACTTTGTTTTAAATCAGATTTTATTTTAATCTACATCAGCGTAATGATCTGGGTGTTATTTATGTGCTTTTTACTCTTGAAAGGTGAGTACAGAATCTAAAAGCCATAGACTTTCGCTTTCATTCTCTATGTATTTACAATTAAACGAAATAATATAAAATGTTTTGATTATTATTCATAGAAAGATCGATATATTTTACAGAATTTAGCTACAGTAATTAATGCAAAACATGTCGAGGTGATTTAACTGTCTAAATGCAACGTTTCATTAAAATGCTGCATCCATTATTCTAAGTGCAACAATATATAGGCTATTTTAGTTAGTGCGGCTAAAGCATTGTTCTCGGCATGCTTCTTCTTCGGGCTTATTGAGGAGAGGAGAACTATGGCTTGTTTTTGATTCGATCGGCGTACGATATTCTCTAATCGCTTATAAAATGTCCCATAAACTTAACATTAGCACGAATTTTGACAGCTCCGAGTGCGGAGTTTATAGAAACGTGGGTTACATTTAAAGAGCCTGGCAAGCTTTGAACTTAAATTAGGGAGCAAGAGCTGCCAATTGCCCTACAGATAGGTGAAGCAACATGAAATCTGACATGTATTGTGATTGTGAAAAGTAAGCCCTGTTTCATTTCAATCATTTCAAAATTGAAAGCAAAGAAGGTAAAGTGACAGGACCCATAAAAAAGAGAGATTTACAACAGTAGCTTATAAATAGAAAAGTGCCAGAAAAAAAAAAGAAATAGGCTAATTAAGTTGGGTACGGGTTAATTACTCTCGTTTTTTCTTTCTAGGCCGATCCATTGTTGCTATTGTAACAAAATACACTTTACATGCCTCCGATTGATGTTGAGGTTTTTTTTTCAGCTTTGTACAACATTTGTTTCGTACATTTAGTTTAACTGTATTGTTAAAGAGGGCGAACCGTTACTGAGCTGTGCGTTTAAGACACTTAAAGGAGTAGTTCACTTTTGCTAATAATTTGCTCACCCCCATGTCATTCACATCTTTCTTTCTTCAGTCGAAAAAAAAAGGTTTTTGATGAAAACATTCCAGGGTTTTCTTCATATAATGGACTTCATTGGATATAACGGTTCAAGGTCCAAAAGACGGTTTCAGTGCAGCTTCAAAGGCCTTTAAACGACACCAGATGATGAAGGGTCTTATAGCGAAACGAGTGGCCATTTAAATAAAAAAAGTTTAAGTTTTAGAAAGCACAAATGCTCGCCTTGCTCTTTTCTGTTCTGTGATGCGCGTTCGTGACTCTCCTGTTCGAACTCGTTCATCAAAATGAACGAATCTTTTTTCGAGTCATTTCTGTTTAGACAGGAATTTGAGTAACTGTTGTTTGTTTGTTCTTCAGGTGTGTTTGGTGCTGAAGATACAGTGAAGACAGTGTCAGGGATGGAGGGAGATTCTCTCACTCTAAACACTGATCTTTCTCAAATACAAAGAGCTGATCTGATACTGTGGACATTTGGACCTGAAAGCACTCGTATAGCTCAGATCAACAGACAGGTCAATATGGTCTCATTATTCAGTAATGCTCTTGATGGGAGATTCAGAGGCAGGCTGGAGTTAGATGATCAGACCGGAGATCTCACCATCATGAACATCAGAACTGAACACTCTGGACTTTATGAGCTACAGATCTTTGGCGGAAATGTGGCCACAACCCAAAAATTCAGTATTATTATTTCTGGTGAGTAGTTAAAATATATGCATTCGGTTTGATTTCATTGCGTTGCAGTCAGCAGCAAAACAGTTTCTTTTATAGTTGGCTAATTGAGATGACATTGTTACATTCTGCTCAGTCGATAGTGGAAGAAAGATTAAGTTAAATCTAACTAACTTTGCACAGTATATAATAATTTAACTTTAGTTCCAAAATTAAACGTTGTATAATTATGGTGCATCAAGATTTATTATTAGTATGTCAAATTAGGCCTAAAGTTTAAAAGTTTTAGCAGTAACAAGCGTTGATTGTTGGGGTCCAAGCACAAATGGCTTGTGTTGACGATACAGTTTGGCGACTTGACACAGTACGAACACGATATGTAAAAATAAAAGTAATGTAGAGGTTACGTCATGAGGACGAATGGGGTTTCGCTTAGAAAGCCTATCAACTTAGAGTATTGCAAAACGAGCCAATGGCAAAGAAATGCCGTGTCTATTGATTTTGTATTGCGTGACTCCACCCCACCTCGTGGGTATATAAGGAAGTACACTGGCAACACGCAGTTATGTTACATGCTGAGGGGCCGAGACTGAACTCAGGCTGTTCCATTTGTACAGCGAAAGTGGCAGGGAGACGTAACGTCTTCATTCCCTACTCAGGGAACGAGGGTTACATCCCTTCCCTTTCGTAGACACTACAAGTTACGTTGTGACGACGAATGGGGTTCCCAGTCTAACCATGCCACTCGGCTGCCAGTGCCAGTCAGTCTGAGATTAGCACGGAAGAAGGACTCCTACTTAACACAGGAATTCCAAGGTACATTGGGAAGCATATCTAAATGGAAATATGCAATTATTGCCTGCCCGAAATACACGTGTGGGGGTCATCAGTTGCGAGTTGCGACATACG